GCAGCAGAAAGCAGCAGCAGCAGGAACAAATGGTGGCAGCATGGTCAGTAAAAAGGGGAGTTCAACCTATTGAAGATGGAAGACAGAAGGTGGAGCATTTCAGGATTTCAGGTTCCTGGAGTCTGAAGCCCCTGAAAACCACTGTTCCCCCACACACACTTTCAAGACTGAGAACAGCTCTCAGAGTTTTCCAACCCCCATGGATCTAGGAGATAAGCACTGGGCTCCATCAGGCTCATGCAGCCTGAGGGCATGAGCTCTGCTCAGACTTCATTCCTCCCTCCCGATCCCTTTCCAGCCTTCCCCGTGCAAGACAAACTAGTTTATCCAAACCTCATACATCAAAAAATACATAATGTCTCCTGACCAGCTCAGAGTAGATATCATTTGCTGTTGGTTGTGTTAGTGGAGAGAGTCACAACTTGACAAAGTGCAGCCCTGAAGAGAGTATGGAGTAAACACTGAATGGCTTCTCCTGTGACCTAAAGAATCAATTCAGTATAATGAATGCACAGTGGAAAGGCAGGTTTATTGGGATGGCTCTAGGGAAGTTTCACTGACCTTCCAGGAGGGGGTTGTGAAGTCCCAAGGTTGAGTTGGGTTAAAGGATTCTTTAAGGAGCTTGGAGGGAGTTTTGAAGTGACAGGAAGTACTGGAGTCATAACTTTACTTGGGGAATTTTGGGAAGGTCTTAGGTGCCCTGGCCATGTTGGAATCCGGAACAAGGAACTTGCTTTGTTCAGTGTTTTCTGAGGGCTTTTTTGTGGGCCTTTTGATGTCTTGGCTTTTGGAATGTCTGACTTTTGCAAGCACAGGCTTTTGATAAGGAGGGAAGGGCAGGAAACTCTTAGTCCTGGACATCTTGCCCTTGTCTCCAAACCTCCTGCCTAATACTCAGGTCTAAATGAGACACCTCTATCATACCCCTTGTTCACAGGGACCATTAAGGAATATAATCACATATGGCTTGAGAGAGTGTAGCAAGTTCTCTGCACTGACTGATTGCTCTGCAACATTGCTAGGGGTTCCTACTTGTTTATACACCAAGAGCTGCTGAGAAGCAAAATCCCACCCCCCACAAAGCACCAAATATCTCCTACTGAGGGTTCTACAAGGCCAGTGACAAAATACAGTCAGAAGACTTATCAGTCCTGTAGTCTGCTGAGCAGGCAAGGGTGGGTCCATATGCTCCCCAAGTCCTAATGGAAGAAGGGAGACAGAAACCTCCCTCTGGCTTGGATGGACAGATTCTCCTCTCCCTTCCAAGCAGCAAACCTGGGAGTAGCCTCTGGGATATTCTCAACACCATCCAGGGCTAGAAGTGCAGAGTAGGGGGCTTATTGTCTAGAAACAGACTGTCCTTCTGCTCATAGGGGATTTTCCCTCTCTGTCTTTACAATAACTTGTTCCCACATTGGCAGTTATTACTGCCTGCCCATGTCCATTTATAAGGAAGGCCTCCTTGTATTCTGCCTTAATGCCATGTCTGGGATTGACTCCCATCCTTCAAGTATTTACACCCATATTTTAATAACTTCAAAGACAACAGAGACAACATAGTTAGAATCCACTTCTTTATTGCTGAAATTATTATAGAGAAGTAAAGGTTGTCCTGGCCGTCATGGGTGGCTCAGAAGAAGCCATCCTCATCTGGCTCGAGGACAGGGGTGGCACTCAAGTGCTGCTCCAAATTCTTCAGGGAGAGTCGCTCTGGGAATTCGGTGACAGATAGGAGAGCATAAGCAGGCTCCTGTTTCTCTCGTAAACGGCTCTCCTCATTCGAAACCAATTCTAAAAGCAGGAGACAGAGATATATTAATTCATAGAACAATGTCATCACTAAAGCACCCATCCTAGAGCACTGTATGCCCACTTCACTTTACTAACAGTTCAGAACGTATTCAGAACCCATCCCAAGGCCGGGGTTGTGCTAGCCTGTGTGCTCCAGCACAGAGACACTTCCCCCAGAACAATCACTACATCTTTTATTTGACCCCAAAGTTCATTGGTCTAACCCCAAAAGGAGTTGATGACGTTCCTCAGGTATATTCTGATTTTTCAGTATGCTGGAAGAAACTGGGTTCGTTTTCACTGAAAGAATAAAAACATCCTCTCAAGTAGCCCCTTGGAACCCAACCTCAGGGTCCTGTTCTGGTGCTACAATTCTAGACAGCAACATCACCTGGCGTAGCGCTCTTCTTAAAAAGGTTATTTTTTTTTTTCAGAAGACTTACCAGAACATCGTATTCGTCCACACCCATCCATCGTGCAAGATCCCTCCTAAAGGGAAAAAGTTTCAACATTTAGGCTTTGTGGTAGAAATCAAGTGTGTAAGGACACGTCCTATTTGTTTTTATATGATGGGCCCACACTTGTGTGCGTATAAATGTTTATTTACAGTCACTATTCTTAACATTTACCTTAAACCTAGCTTTAGAAATGTGTTTCTTTCAGAGACCAAATTTAAGGGTATTCCCAAAGAAATAGACACCTCTTTGATGTACGGAAAATGTAAAAATCACTAAAGAGAGCATAGGGATGAAACACGTTTGCAAAACTTTAACCAGAGGTGGAATCCCTCCTGCTTTCCCCAGTCCCGCCTCAGACTTCTCAGCCATACTTCTGGAAGCTCATTTAGACACCAAATATTGCGTAAATTTCCCAATCTTGAACAGGGCAACAAATCACATTTGTTTCTAGACCGCATATCCCCCATACCCGTACCCCAGGATCTAATTGCAGGCAGAAAGTGCTAATTGCTGGGGGAAAGTCTTAATTCCACTCCGAAGGTCCTAAATGCAGACGGTCCGGGACTGGTCCCATTATTTCTACATGGAATCAGAGGCCTGGCAAGAGCCAAAGGGCACCTGTAAATGAGGCGCCAAACACTAGCCATCTGCTTACCTTGCTCGCAAGCTGGGGTAGCGAGACTCTCGGAAAAGGCGCTCCAGATCACGCAACTGAGAGCTGGTGAACCTGCTGCGGCTGTACCGCTGGAAAGCCTCATTGTTCCAAGCTTGTTGATTCCTGATATGCTCAAGAATCGCTTCTTCTTCCTCAGATTGTTGTTGATCACTGCTGCCTTGGCCACCTTCTTGCTGGATGTTGTCATCCGCGGGGCCAGAAGCACCATCACTAGCATGTCTTCCCTCTATTTCTTCTTCCTTCTTTTCTCCCTCCTCTCCTACTCCTGTGGCTTCCTGGGTGACACTGAACTGAGCAGGCTCTTCTTGAGCATGCTTGCCTCCAGCAACCTCACCCTGGGCGAGTTCGCCCTGATCAAGCCCACCCTGAGCAAGCCCGCCCAGTACAAGCCGTTTCTGGTCTCCTTCCTCTCCAGCCTCGGAGACCACTGTCTTCCTACCTGAAAGATACAAAGAAGATGCAGAGATAAATATCTGAGCATCATGGCCCAGGGATCTCCGGAAAGTCCGGAGAAAGACCACAGGCAGTGTTCCGTAACCGAACCGAAGTGCGGGTCCACTGTTCTTTCTACTGCCTTTTCTCCCCGAGTTTCATCAAAGTCCAGCCAGAACCAGTTTACTCACCACGCCGTTGTTCCTGGTCCTTCTCAGCTCCCAGACTCAGAGGCTTTTGGAAACTTTGGCGGCTGTCTTGAGGAGTCTCCATGGCGAGAATCTCTGGATCCGACCTTGCTCCCGAAGAGGCTTCCAAATGTGGTGTCCTCGCAGTTCCGGCGCCAGAATATATATCTCTGCTCAGATCCTTGACCCGGAAGGCTTTTCTCCTCTGGCGCCTCACCCAAATTACAGTGTTCCCGAGAAGCAGTCTTTCCTGGCTTCTTGCACAGCCGCAGTGGCTATGGGCTTGTCCCCTGAGGCGCACAAGCCAAGCAGAAGCTGTTTAGTGCTGAAAAGAGCAGAGTCCTTTTTAAAAAGAATTCAGCCAGTGGGTGTGTACAGGTGCAGAACTTGTGGCTTTGAGTTGCTGCTTAGGGGGCACCTGTAGCCCTGGTCAAGCCTGAACGGCTCAAATTCATTCACAAGGAGCAACATAAAGACCTTCTCAAGCTCAGCAGGCCATTGAGCCCTGCTGAATAATTTTATTAAATTATGCAAATGTCCTTCAAACCAAATGGCAAAGGCACACCCGTTAAGAAAGTGGGACAAATTAGTCTCTGTCATATATGACCCACATCGTGGTTTGCCCAGGTGTATACACTCTTCACTGCCCCTATCTATGTTGGTTGTGCTGCCCTGAATATCTCTGTGTGGTGGCAAATATTTGGGAACGCCTGGGCAAGATCCTCCTGAGCGACTGTTCCCAACAGGGCTCAGTTTCACCCGTATCCACAAGTTCAATCTCATGGAGTGTTTGTGTGGGAAGAAACCTTTCTGGCCTAGATGTGTTTGACCCAAGGACCTGGGGTGTCCCAAGGACATTCATGGCCCTCAAAGATCCACCTTGGCCACTGGCTCCAAAGTTGTTGTCTCACAGCTGTGAAGGTCAAAGGCATATGGGTAAGCAATTCTGGACGCAAGCTTTACCAAGAAAGAGAGAAATTGAAAATTTAGAGAAATTCCCCAGAGTGGATGTTGTCCCCCACATTTAAAAATGCCATTGAGCTCTGTCATCTAGCATGTTTTGTTTGTAATAGAATCATGGCTGTGGCTGGACAATGGCCGGGGTAATTGTTGGGATATGGGTTAGTTCTCTGGGGTGGCATAGGCTGAGACAGTGGGGGGTCCACATGGTCAAGCCCAGGCAGGAAAATGATCAAGCTGTGTTCTCCTATTGCCTGGGTCATTAGGGTGGCTGAACCAATCCTCTCTGTTCCTGGCCCTTTTTTGGTCTTTGTTAACCTTGTCTGTCTGCTCAACAGTCATGGGTGTGGCATTGCAACCTCTGAAATGTCAGCTCCCCCAGTCTTTTTTTTATTGTTATTACTCCTCTCTCTTCTCACAGCTACCAAGAAGCAACTGAAGTTGTTGGTCCTTTTCTCTGTGCCTCCCTAATGGTTGTGAAGGCCTTCTGGAAACAGGGAGGGAGGCTCGCTTAGAAGCTCACTTTCCTTACTCTCATGATTAGCTGCTGTGGAAGCCAGGCTCTATTAGGAAACGAGAGTGCCATGTGTGCTTTCCTTTAGGACTTGGGCTGGTTGACCCACTGACACTAGCTGTAAGCCTGGTCAATCTCCTTCCTTGTAGGTTTGTCTCTCCCATACTGACACAATCTCACTCTTTGTCCTTAGTGGATGTGGTTTGATTGTTTCCACTCTAGCCCTCCTTGTAGCCCTAGCATCTCCACAACATATGTGAGCAACTTGCAAATTTGAACTTGACTGCTTTGTTCTCACTACTAACAGAGGCCTAGCTACTGCATCAGTATCAACCCTGGATTCTTAGATACATTTCCCAAGATGCTGCTCCCAGGGTTTGGGGGAAGCTGGTAAGAGATGGTGCATTCAGATTACCCCCATTGTCATTCCTTTCTCTAGAGGTCACAGGACACTGAGCTTATTGCTTTATTTCTGGTAGTTTCTTTCCAGAGCTTAGTACAAGGAATTATGCATAGAGGTTTGGTTCTCTTATGGTGGACTCAGCATGCTGTGTAGCACAGATGTGCTGTGGAGTGGACAATGGGACTATCTAACATAGGTAAATACCAAGGCCTGCTCTCCTTTAAGCTGTTATCTTTGTGAGGCTGGAAACCAGCACCTGTCTCTGCCTTTCCCATTGATCCTCTTGGTCTCATTGGTCCTACTGGACCCAGGGGAGGCTCTGCACTCTATTGACTCCCTAGGAAGTCAGCTGCTACCCTGCAGTCAGCTGTTTAATCCCTGCTTCTCCTTGCTGTAAGAGGAAACCTGCATCGATGCACGCCTGTTTTACATCAGAAAAGCAGAGATGTGTGTGAGCTCCATTTCCTGCCACATGTGATGTTTCTTAAGTAATCTTCTGTGACTGACTCTTCGGAGCTAACATGAATTAACGAAGTTCTGTGTCTCCTTCTTGTTTGGTTACACGTCCAAAGCTTTAGGTCAGGGCTTGTCACTCTTACTAATGCTTTGACCTCATTAGCGACCTCATTAAATACAGTCCCTCATGCTGTGGTGACCCCTCACCATAATATTATTTTCATTGCTACTTCATAACTGTCATTTTGCTTCTGTTGTGAATGGTAATGTAAATACGTGTTTTACAATGGTCTTAGGTGACCTCTCCCAAAGGGGTTGTTCCCTATACAGGTTGAGAACCCCTGCTTTAGGTTAAGAAATGTGATTATGGAACTTCTACAATACTTTCCTGGCTCACTCTGCTCATCCTAATTATTAGATTAATAACCTACCTGCACACCATTTTTCGTGAGGGAGTACTTTGTCAGCATATGCCTATGTCCACACCCAGGCTTATACACAGACATTCACATGCAATCACACATGCAGAAGCATCTGTAGTCAAAACCATTCCATCCCATTGACCCATCCTTTAGACAGAAGATAGTCTGCAGAATGTGAGAGTCATTCCAGAAAAAAAAAGGAATTGATAAAAGGAAGGTGGCTATAGGTTTCCCAAAGCTAGTTATAGCCAGGAGGTGAAATGGAGTGAATTGTCAGACTATTGTATTGAGGAGCACGAGTTTAAAAACAAAACAACAGCAAAAACTTGAATCACTGTTTGTCTAAAACCCAAGACAATGCTAAGTTTACCATAAGAGTATTAAGGGAATATTAAGAGAATTCAAGCTAGCAATTTTAGAAGCAAGTCATCAGCTTCAAGAAGAAAGATAGTTGATGAAGAATGGATTTTGATGAACTTTTATCTGTACTATGACATAATACCATCAACAGAAAGAATAATAACTGAGGAAGTTTTCCCAGATTTGAGCCGTCTTCCACAAATCCATGGTCAACATTACTAGGTAGGCACTCTTGAAATTTTATGACCTGGCTGTGTCCAGGTTGACTCTCCTATGTGGCCTTTGTGGCTCATGGTACAGTACACAGTGACTCCTGCACTTCCCAGTTAGGCACAGCTCACTGTGTCATTTTTCTATTCTTTACTTGGCACTCCATGACCATCACGTGAAAACCAGGTCTTATTAAATTCTTCTTAACCCCTTGGGCATGAAAGCCATGTGCTGTTACCTAGTGCGCCTGAACTGCAACTGCATTCTGGAGCTCCCGCTGTCTCTCTGTGTCTCTCTTCTCTCTGTCTCTCTCTTCTCTCTTTGTCTTTGTCTCTTTCTGTCTCTCTGTGTCTCTGTCTCTCTCTGTGTCCATCTGTCTCTGCGTGTGTGTGTGTGTGTGTGTGTGTGTGTGTGTGTGTGTGTGTGTGGAGGGATAATGAAGAGTAAGCCCCTCTGAACCAGTAAAGGAGCAGGCAGATAGATCAGGTCCAGGATCCTGGCTTTCAATCACCCCCATCTCTGGAGTGTTTTTACTTAATTAACCCTCCTGGTATGCTCTATCCCAGTCACAGGCCCCGAAGCGTTCTTACTTAACCCCTTCGGCATGCAGTATCCAGGCCACAGGTCCAGACCCTAGTCACAGGTCTCATCCTTTAGGGGCTCAGTAAGAAGTCTTCCTGGTATACTTGTGAGAGACACATGGTTGAAAGAAACACGGGTGGATCTAGAGGGAGGTCAGGACTGGGAGGTAAGTGGGAGACATCCAGGACTATTATATAATCAAGAAGGAGAGGATGGAGTGGCGAAGTTGAGTCCAGAGAAGGCTGCATCTGATAGAAATGAAGAGGGTCTAAAGACAAGCTGGGGCAATTTTCCAGCTAAAAGGAATTAGGACTCGGGAGATAGGTGTACAAATTATGAACCCTGAGGAGAAAGTTGGAGCTGGGAGCTCTCAGTAGCCCCACCCCCCACCCCCAGAGAGAGGCCACTGAGTAGTCAGAATATGATGCACGGGGGTGAGGACATGGTGTGACTATGACTGACTATGTGCACCAGTACAAGAGTGACGCAGGCTACAGGTATGGCTGGAGGGCCATGGTTGATGATTTCTCATGTCAGGTCAGCCTGGTCAACCAGGGTTCAGTGTACAGAAGGAAACTCCAGACCCTTATATAATCTCCAGAACCCTACATCTACATCTGTGGGCCCCAAAGACCAGTAAAGATGTTTCTTCGTGCTAACAGTTTTTGGTGCGTGGACAGTTGACCACATAAACACTGCAACTCATGCTGTCAGAGAAAGACCTGTTATTCCTGGAAGTGAGCTTAGACTGACATACCAAGCTCTATGATAGTCCTCTGGTGGGATGGTAAGAGGATTTGACTTCTTCAATGATGCCCATCAAGGCAACTTACTAGTATAAACTGATTGTGAAGGCTCAGCATGTATTGATTTGGCAGTGATACTCACTGCAGAATTATGTGTAACCAGAAATCTGAAAAAAGGTGTGATATCCATCATTGGGGGATTGATTCCACACACAAAATTCTCCCCTGAAGCTACATGACTTTGCAGACCATAAGCCTTCAGGTTCTTACAAGTGCACTCTTTCCCAAACTTCAACCTGACTCTCTTGCTCCCCTGCTCAGACACTGCCCACAGCTGCCCACAGCTGCCCACAGCTCCCTACTGCCCTTATGATCTTGCCAGAGCCCAGTGCTGCCCTTCCCTGACTCGTTTTCTATTTGCATTTGTTACCA